TGTGCAATAAAAATGGGCCAGGGAAGAAAAAAGGTTGAAAACCACTGCTTTACCCTGGCTTCAATATGAGACTGAATAACTGGAGTTCAAACCCAAGCGTATATGAAACAAGCATAATGTAAATAAATTATTCTCACTACGTGACCAAGCGCATGTTGCATACCGTTAAAATTATCTCTTCTAAACAAGAATCCATATTTAAAAAAATATTCTCTGTTGGTGGAATTCCCCTTATATGAAACAAAAATATCGTCTCGATCAAAGCAATAATCAATACAATAATTGGCTGGCCTGAGGCTATTTCTCGTTTAACTTTTCATGTGTAATTTCGAAATAATATAAGGTTGTATTAAATTGCAGATAAATTACACTGCGTCGAAGAAACATTAAATTAACTAGAATTTTACTGTTGTTGAAATCTTCTACAATACTTCGGTAACTACGCCGGTAGTTGGCGATCAATTCTCAAAAACACGCCAAACAGCTTCTTATCTATATCCTCGTTCTTGGATAACATGGCAATGAAAAATTTTCAAGAAATATTCTTTTTTTAATTTACACTTAATTAGAGAAATTTTGCTGCTGCTTTTTAATGATATTGATCATGAACTACCACCATAATGTCAACCACTCTACAGACTTCCTTATAGCTTCCATTTTGCGCGTCATGGATTATATTAATAAATTGTTTGTAATATATAGGGTGTCCATAAAGTCTTAAACTTTTTTTGAGAACTGACTTCATTTCAACAAAATTGAAATTGTAAAGGGACTTTATGGACGCCCTGTATATCATAGAATGATTGTGTGTCTGACTGTTATTAGTATGTCAGTAGTAGCACTTTAGCTCAATGCCCTTCTGTGTGGTCAGATGATTCTCTCAAGTAAGTAAATAGAATTTGATGATGTGTTAAAAGTTATAGAGTCGCAGAGTTAAAGTAAGCATTGAAGAAAATTCGTCGTTCGCCAATGTTTTATTGCAAAACGACACTGACTTTTGAAATCCTTGTTGAATTGTTGTACCGTGGCTCACATTGATTTTAAAAACAGCGCATTATTATAAAATTCTTTCAAGTTACACTATCGGTAGAAGTTATGCGAGACGAACTCCCAATCCTTCCTTTTGGATCCGTATGCGCATAATGCAAGGATGCTGAAGCTAGATTAGACATGGCCATACTGTACTGTGTAATTCAAGAGTCCTGCTGCGCACTAACACAAATGTAATTCTGTTTGTCTGGCCAAAACCAACTTCCTCAGACAAGCAGTCAACAATGACAAGGAAAGGATCAACGTTGAATTGCATAGTCCTTTAACTTTGTTTTGTTTAATTGAGGGTTTACGAGGTTATTTGATTACAATATGCATAATGTGTTGAACCCAAAAAGTTCATGCCTTTGCTCAAAACCTCAACCTGGTAGTAATAAACTTGTTTGCGTGAAATCGGGAACGTTACGGTTCTTTCAAAAACATGGCATCGTTCTATGCATTAGTAGCTGCTGGTATCAGGCTTTTTATCGAGCGAGAGGACGATTTATCGAAACGCATGAAATCGCCAACAGTTAGTTGCAAGGAACCACCGATGTGCGAAAATTTATTTATGACCAGAAAACACTATAGTTTATTGGAATTTCTAAAAATTTCGATTAGTAAAATGCTTCTTGCAATTTCGAAATAATAATAGGTTGTAATAAATCGCAGAAAAATTACGACACGTCTAAAAAAACATAATGTTGACTGGAATTTCACTGTCGTTGAAAATACTTCGTCATTGAAGTGTAGTCGAGTTTTAATTGTCAGGTAGTTGAGCAGATGCAACTGATGCTAAAATTTGTTTGTGATCGAGGAATCACAGTTAATAAAAAGAATTTAATAACAAAATAACCATGACGTCATAGCGTAATTTCCGCATCGCCCCAATCAGTTTAGCCATGCGTAATCGACATCGTGCCACGTCTTGCAACATTGCTTCGTGCATGAGAATTTCTTATGGGAGAATTACTGGTAATACCCGTTGGCGCATATACGTAATACCTAAGTAGATTGTATACAGACCCAACGGTATTGTAGCGACATGAAATGCAGAACGTCATCGCAGATATTACGTCACTGAAATCTTAGTATGGCGTCAATCAATTAATGCAAGCGTCTTCGACATAGAACGTGACGGTGTCTTGTGACATTAGACATTCATGAGAACTTGTTATAAAATTATACTATATTATCATATCTAAATTTCGCGCATGTGAGAAATCGGTATGCAAGTTGTATACAGACCCAACACATACGGGTATTGCCATCACGTGAGCGTATACCGCAAAAATGGAGTCATCACCGAGTTTGCGCCATTTTACCTCTAGTATCGTCTTAATAGATTTATCCAAGTGTCTTCAACATATCACGGGCCGATTTAACATCTCGCCGATGTCTTGTAACATTGGCCATACATGGGAGCTTGTTATGGGAAAATATTATATGATCATAACCAGATTTCATGTATACATGTATATATATACAGACCCAACCACGCATATTTTCGTCATGTGAAATGTAGAACTCCAAAAAATATATAATCGTACAAATTCGATGTCGCCCAATCTGATTCGTTATTTTGTGAGATTGGTCATACACGTAATTGGTATGCAAGTTGTATACAGACCTCTAACTACGCATATTTTTGTCACGTGAAGTGTTGAACTTCAATAAATGTAAGATGTCCATAAAGTGTTACAAATTTTTAATATTGCAAAGGGAATTTATCGATATTCGATACCATATATTGTTTTGGCCTTCACAGATGTATTAATTGAAGTAAAAATACTTGAACAATTACTGATTAAAAACAACAAACCTTGTTAAGATATATTGAGAACTGACTTCATAACAAAATTGGAATTGTGAAGGGACTTTATGGGGGCACCCTGTATATTCGTGCAAATTCTATGCTGCCCAAGTTGATTCGTTAATTCTCGGACAGATCTTGTGACATTGGTCATACCCCTATTTCGCGCTGCGCACATTGTCACGTGAGATGTACGCAAATACTAATGCAAAAAAACACAATTTCGCTTCAGGCCAGGACAGAGAAAGTACCGAATATGACGGAGCGTTTATCGTCATTATTGATAATTCACACGGAAATACCTGTCCGCCTACGACACTGTTAAAAATTTGGTAAATCCCTTTATTTTTATGCGCTGGCAGGAACAGCTACTTGGATGTATGGGAATCGTTACATGTCGGCAATGTATTATACACACAATGAGCGTCCATTGCGTCAGGCAGGCGGTGGAATTCGTTATTATCATCCAATGAACCTGATATAGTTAGGACAGACTCGTTAATCAACGGGCAATCACACCTTTACTTTCGTTTTCCTTGTAATACATTGTTATCAATTATCCTAGCGGAAATTTTTTATTACATATTTTACATAACTTATACATTTAATAAAGCTATGTTGTGTACTTTTCACCCAGGCTCATACGCCTGGCAAATATATGGATGAGGCCTCAGCTAAGCGTTCGTACATATGTAAATGCTTCTTCAATACTAAATAGCCTTGAGGCATGTTTGGAAAGTTAGGTCGGTACCGATAATTTCTCTCATTTTCTCAAATGAAAGAAATATTTTTTTCACGGAAAAACTTGTTTGTCAGACGTCGATTTAAGTAGTAAGGCGTGTTGCTGTAAGAGTTGAGTCTATATAAGATCTTCCTGTGAGATTGCCTGTCGGAATAATATGAAATGACCTGTCTGTATAAGACTTGCCTTAGATAAGTTTTCGCCGACTTGATAGATTTGAATAATTCAATTTGTGAGCTAACCTGTAGAATTGGGACCGATAGTGAAAATGTATTTTAGAAATTTCATTTGTACAATTTCAATCATTAGTTTGGGTTCCGCGAGGCTAACTACTTTTTCCTGCTTTTCGCAGATGGATCTGTACGCGTATGATAAAAGGATGTTGTAACAATAATAAAAATGACACCATTCTTGTCAAAGTTGAAATATGCTTACTTAAAAGGAAGTCGGACGTAATGTTCCAGAACTATATTTCTGTTAGTGTGTAGCAAGACTCTTGAATAACATATTAAAAACTTTTCAATGTACCAATACAGTGATTTATTCCGCGGATGTTCAGTTTGAGAGAAAAATACTGCTGCTTTTCCGATACTGCCTTAGTATGTCTACAAGGTTAGGGTTAGGTCCTAATTTTATTCCGATTTCCCCTATTTTAGTTCTATTACGAGTTCGGGGACTGTCTATGTTAGCCAAGTAAATATACCTCCTGCTCACACGTGCCAGCTCCTCTACACAACTTGATGTAATCATATTGGTACACATACTTTTGGAGCGCCGCTAGTCCGACAGGGATTTCAATTTGTTATCGAGAATTTAGCAGCAAAAACTAACAGCATCTTAGCAATTAAATGCTTTTTACTTTAAGGACAAATTTAAAATAAAAAGTAACGCTTGTCAGTTGTTTTCAAACTTACTGTCATCGATTAGAATGAATGTGAAGGCTGTGCAGAAATAGGGTCGAAGTTAAGAACTAGTCAAACTCGGTAATAATATATAGTAATGGACGACTAGGAATGCAGATTGTGCTGCAAATCCAAATTTTGAAATCATTCCTAACCCGAACCCGAAATGAATAATTACTAGTTTGGTATTTTAAAGCGTGTCGGGTGTGCCTTGTTTTTTTTCTTTCAAATTTTGCATTAGTGGCAAGGGATTTATACAGAAGCTCCAAATATAATAATAGAAATCGCTTCATAGTGACTTTTACATCTCAAAATACTGAAACTTTGAATTCGATCGGCTCATCAATTGTGCACAAAAGAAGTTATTTTCCAAACAACAACCAAACGAAGAATAACAACTGATAGGTCCCCCCCATGTCCGACAATTACTCAATTTCTTATAGGTTACATGCTGCACATATTTGTGTGTTTAGGAGTAGGGAGGCATTGGGCCAGCCTAGAGCAGTTTACCGGGAATACGATATCATATCTTAATACCATCTTAAGTGATGTTTTCTACCGTTTTGCTTATACATTCAATCTTGCAGTACTCGACAAGAATCCCATAACCCACGTTGGGCCGCGCCATTGTGTAATCTAATTTTATTTTATTCGAATTTATTTTTAATCTGATATCATGGTTTGAATTTCATGTTTTTTAAAATAACAAATAGGATATAAAGAGTAACTTTAAGCCACAATGCATTACTTTGTGACGTCAGTCGCATTGTTGGTGGTTTCGATCGCGTCTGTCAACAGTTTAACATGCAATGAAGGCTTTAACGGCAAAATAGGAGGAGTTCCGTTTTATCACTGGACAGATAGAAAGTGTTCCGGTAAAAGTGATTGCTTCATGCAAGAGCTGTCCTTGAAATTGTTCGAGACAGATATCGGAGGTAAGATATTCACAGCGATGCCAGATATTTACAGAAAGCTGTAATTTAAACCGAGTAGTGAATATCAAAGTTGCCCAATTCGTGGGAAGAAATCAAGCAAAATATTTTGCATTCTGTGTGCAAAACACATTAAAAAGTTTGGAGTGTCATCTTTGGTGGAAGAATGTATACATATATGAATAAAATGTCATAATAATTAAGTGCAGGGTATACATAGGTCAAACTCACTACAATGTACATTGCTCTAATTAGTTGCTATTTATTCGTTATTTCTATCTATTGGCTATTGTTTCATATGAAACTTCATACAGCTAGCCGAGCTATATAGAACTATCAATTACTTTAATTTTATAACTAAACATGTAATCAAAAGTTATAGAATTTAGGAAATAATCCATTTCAATTTTGGCAAACTAATTTATTTTACGTCGACTCATTTCGTACTCGACTATATAATCAAGTAAAAACTGCGACTTGCATCTGACTTAAGTCATACCTTTGTGTGTACTAGATTAGGGTTAGGCAATAATTTTATCCCGATTTTCCTTATTTTAGTTCTATACGAGTTCGGGGACGGTCTGTGATAGCCGATTGAATATACCCCCTACTACATATTGGTACACACACTTCTGAGTTCAGTAACACATCCCGGGCAACTCTAACGTATCCTTCTTTGCATTTAGTGACAGCGAAATACGGTGGCTGCATTTCATCTCGCTACGCCCCTCTGATGACCTGTGAAAACCTATTTGGTGCGGACAGCACATTCGATCCTGCAAGGTTGCTAAATATGATGCCAGAATTAGAGCAGAAATTCAAAGACTTCTTAGAAGACATGAGACTAAATACGACCCAACAGTTTCAAATCTTATTCTCAAATGGCAATGGAAGTGAGGAGTTCATAGAAGGCTTGGTTACTTTTACTGAACATTTAGGGTTTAAAATGGAAAAAGTGAAACCACTAATTAGGCCAATGGCAGAATGTTGGAATTGGCTATTCGCTTCGCCTTCGCCTTCGCTGGATTATCAAGATTTCATATCACGACGTATAAATCTCACGGACAATTTGTTAGAAGCTCTTGGAAATCTTGAGAGTAAAAATACGGATATTGCAGAATATATTTTATCATTTATCGGTAATTGGGCTGACGAGAAATCTATCAACGAAATACGAGATTCAAAGTATTTACCTTTGCTTGAAAACCTTCCCGAGTTGGTCAAAATGGCACTACCAAATTCTTTTAAAGCTTCCAGCTGGTTTGATTCCATGTTTGAACTTCTCGGTGACATCAGGATTTCTGAACCAAAAACGTCTGCTTTTAACACGATCAAAACTATGAAATCTATGGTTGAAATACCCAAAGAATACAACAAATACCTGGACCCAATACTGAACACCGCTCCTGAACTTGTTCAACACATGGCCGACGGAGACTACATGTACGCGGGAACATGGTCTGCAGAACTTGTCAAGTCGGAAAGCAAAACAAATTCGGTCACAAAGAAACTTTCAACTTCAATATTCAAGTTCATCTCAAGCATAAGTCAAAAGCAAGTACCTGCTGATATAAATGTCCTGATCACTTGGCTACCGGGAGTCTTCTACAATTTCTTCCCAGAGGATAGTACCGGTATTGACCGAGTTTACAACGCACTTTCTGACGGATTCGATGCTACTGATGTTACAAATCCAACGAATACTCTCCCAACCACCAAGATGAGCGATTTTTTAGTAAAATTCACCGAAAAATTCATTGAGTACCCACCAGGACAACAGGAGCAGTCTGAAGCAGCCAGACAGATAAAGGACTTGCTCGTCATCAATTTCTCGAAGACATTTTATAACATTATGACGTCAAAATACACGGATAAACTCGATATCATCTTTGATACGTTGGCAGAAGGTTTGAAAAATTATCCCGACTTTGACACGGGAAAAATCGTAGAAAATTTGATCACAAATTTAGGATGGACTGTTCCAACCGAACTCAAGCCCCTTCTGAACACCGCCCAAGGTCTAGTTAAGGCAATGATGAACGGCAGTTATGAAGCAATGAGGGAGGCAGCTGAAAATGTCATTCAAGAATACGAAGAAGCATATCCTAAATCAGAATTTCCGGATTTAGTACGAAGATATATCGATTACTATCATACTGTATTTGTAGAAGCTGAGAAGATAAGACAGGAATCTAGGGATTCATATGATGAGTGCCCTTACACAGACCCAGACTGGCTCGAATGTTTCAACAAAATAGACGATGAAAATAGGAAAAGGGATAAAGAATTTGCGCTGAAACTTTATAAAATGTCGAATGATTTGTCAGTTGACACTTCTTTTGCTATCTTTCGTTTAATGGATTACGACGATGACGTCATCACATCGGTTGCGATAAAGACTTTCCCTCAATACGCAACTTACATCAGACTGATGCGAGTTCTTGATTCTAGCGACATCAAGGACCTGCTTAACGACTTTACTACGTGGTTTGTAGAATCGACCTATGGCCGTAACTATACCTTGCTAACGTTAACGGAGTTCACTGCAGCGATAAATGCAACTGTTTTCAAAATTACTTCGAAGCTGGGTGACGTCACGAAAGAATTACGTAACATGTTCGCACCTGAGTAAGTATAGTATTTAGTTTAAGTTGAAATATTTTTGTTGAACGAGAATCGAGTGAAATATTCAATAGAATAATCTGGATAATTTGTTAAAAATAAGCAAACATTATCCAGTAGGCCTACTTCCGTTATCCCGTAGTGTGTGCACCAGGTTAGGGTGAGGGCATAATTTCATTCAGATTTTTCTTATTTTAGATCTATTACGAATACGGGGACTGTCTTTATTAACCAAGTGAATATACTCATATGTTTTTGTCCAATTAAACAGCTTGATGTAAAGTAGGCGAACAAAATTAGTTACCTCCATATTGGTACACACACTTCTGGAGCGCCAAATATACTTCATATATATAGCCATATATAGACGTTTGGAACTTGTAACGTGTAACCAGTGACGGGATTCAGGAAGCACGCACGGATTTCCGCGAACCTTTTTTGGAAATCTGTGAAGCGATTAGCGAACCCGTTCCTGTGTTTATTCTCGTGTTAGTTCGGCATGGTTTTTTAAAATGAATACGAATAGTATTCACCGCTCCTTTACATAAAATTATTCTCCACGTGCAATTTGCTTATTACTCGTGAAACGAAACATTGCGTGGTGCTGTGCTGGTATTCTTTTCCCTCCAGCAGGGGCATTAAATATTCGCGCGATGTACAAATTATTACGAGGTTTTTCTCTTTCTACAGAAGTTTTTTTGGTACTCCCCTAGTTAGTGAACCAAGATGGCGGACACCGAAATGTAGAGTGTGTACCATGTTAGGGTTAGGCCATAATTTCAGGTACAAATACTACGGGAGTCACTTGGCTAGTCCCCGAACTCGTAATAGAACTAAAATTAGAATAGAATTATAGCCTAACCCCCATCCTGGTACACATACTATATTCTGGTGTCCGCCATCTTGGTTCACATACTACGTGAGCGCCATTTTTTTTACAAATTGATTATTTGCGCGTGTAATGAAATTACCAACGTTGCTCATATGTTTTGAATTTCAATTACAGCTCGTGCAAATACGAACATTGCTCTTTCGACGGTTGTAACGCAGATGGATTTCTCGCAAAAATACCGACATTCTCACCACCTCCAAGTGTTGCGACTCCATCAGTGTTCCCCGACAAGAAATTAGATAATACTGGCAAAGACAAAGTGCTGACCATTACAGATGAACCGCCATCTACCACGTCTGGATCTAATATAGTCAGCGGGAACATAATGCTGAGTATGATCTCATTGTGGCTGAGTTACAGAGCGTTTATGGAATAATGACTTGGAGACGTTTTGGAGCAAATTTTGTTTCATTACCCAGGACTTTTTTATGAAATAAGCATTTTCCGTTCTTGACCCAACAGTTCTTTTCTAAACAAAACAATTTATGTATTTTGTAGAACAGCATCTAATGTGTGACAATTTCTTCTATTGCCGATAAAATTAGTTTTTTAACGCATACTATGACACACATATATAATCGTTTTCATATTACTACACACCGACCAAATGTCCCAATGTTCACAAACAGCAAAATAAATATATATCGTTTCAGTAAATTCCAGCGCCTTGGTGGAAGGAGGCAACTTTGCTCAAAGATCAGTCTCTTTTGCTTATGAGCAAAAAACCTTGATTTGAGCAAAATCCCTCAACAAAACCCCAGAGAAAAGATTGAGATTAGGGTTTACATGTATGCGTACCATGTCCTTTACTGAAACAACTTATTGCTGATATAAATGCATTTTTAATAGTTTCGACAAATTATTCACCGGGGAAGCACTTTATTAACCAAGAATAAAAAAATTCAAAATGATTGCAATTCATCGATCAACATAGCTAAGTCATATATATTGAATATAACCTACCGATGGGGACGGGCTACAACGGCAGCTAGACCAACAGATTATCTGTCTTAGGTGTTTTCTTACTAGTAAATCCATGTGTGTATAATGAATGATTCGATACTAAGGCAGAAAACGAAGCGAAAAAAGGGAATGTGCGCGCCATTCCAAAATATTGATATCCGAAATCAAATAATATTTGCTTTCCTACTTTGGAATCGAAATATTCTATTGTCCATCGTAATAATGAAATTTCGCATTTTTATTTTATCATATTTTCAAAACATAACAGTGTTATGGCATGAGTCTTGTTAAACACGTGTTCGTCAATGAATGACCTTTTAATTAAAGAATAATTTTTTATCCCCAGTTTTGGAAAATACAGGTTATAGAAATGACGTTAATAATTGGTATTACGCCGTTACATTCGAAATAAGCAATGGATACTTACTTTATTATGTTGTCAATACCTGACAAAGTATCGATATTTTTTGAGTTTGTATATTCGTATGTTCACCTTATTTACCCATAAATTTCTTTTATGAAAAAAATTAAACAATAAATTACATAAAACGAAAGTTGCCCTGTCGGCGATGTCTGTAAAGAAATCGGTACTCCCGTAATATGTGTACCAGGTTAGAGTTAGGACATAATTTTATTTCGATTTTCCTTATTTTAGTTCTATTGAGAGTTTGAGGGTTGTCTGTGTTAGCCAAGTGAATATACAGATACACAGGTTTCAATCCCGTTATACAACTCGATGTAATGTAGGCGAACAAAATTAGTTACTTTCATAATGGTAGACACGCTTTTGGGGCGCCAGAAATCTTATCTAAGCTGGTCTGGTTAAAATGCTGATGGTTACGGTGTAGTGACATACACAGGTAAAATGGAATCTTTTAATAAAAAGAGGTTTTGGCGTATTTAGAAACAAAAGTTATTCTCAGGCTTGTCCGTGGGACATATTTCTCTGTCCCATCCCATAGCAATTATGCCTGTCCCATCCCTTCCCATAGGATTCCCATTGGAATAAAATTCAATGAAACTTGTTGGATTCTGGTTTAGCGTCTACTAAATGGAACTACATGTACGAATAGACATGCAAAACAACAAAATTCACGGACTTTGATAACTTTATATTAATAACTAATATAAATGTGTCCATCAGACCCTTCACGAAGTATATTTTTAATACTGAATATATTTTTCTCTTTATAACTAACAAGAGAGCTATGCTCAAATATATGGACACGAAGTCCATAACGGAATGTTTTACCATCATTTCCCCGAAAATCATACGGTTTTTGTGTCCCACGTGCCCCATGGGAAATACAAATGTGTGCTGTCCCATCCCATCGGACATTTTCCATGGGAATCCCATTCATTGGACAAGCCTGGTTATTCTGCCTTGGCGCTCAATCATTTTTGCCTAAAAATTCATTTTACAACCTTATGGAACCCTATGATTAAGAAAGCGCGTCATAAGTGAGTTTAAAGTTTCGGACCAAATTAAAAATGCCTTCTTTATTATGAATTCTTTAATTGGTTAATTATTCCCATACCCGATTTATCTTTCCGCTCAGAACGATAAATATATATTTAAAAATATAGCATCCAAACTGCATCAAAATTATTTTATATCCTGGAGATCCGCGAGGCATCTAATGCTCATTATTTCCATCATTTTATCATCTAAAAATTTATCATTAATCAAAATGGCCGCTGTTCCGTCAAACTGGAAAACATACACGTTTTTTGGTGGGATAATTTCAAGATATCGGTCTTCTCAGTTCCTCCCAGGCATACTATAACCTTAGTTTCCTTTTTTACATAAGATAATATGCCTCAAACTGAATGACTTGCAATAATCTCGATAATGTTTGATAATGTGAACAAAAATGACAGGCAATTTGATAGAGATGGTAGAATTGGATTCTTGCCACTGAGCTCAAGAACAGCAGAAATTGACAAATGGACAATGTCTGCTCTCTTGGCTGGATCACAGTGCTGGAACATGAGACATGTGTTTAGAAGAATTGTCAGATTTCTTCCTAACCAATTTCCATAAGTCTAATTGAGCACATTGGCGCGAAATTATTCCCCGTACATCGTATATTACACGTTCAATAATACCTATTCCCAATTCAAGATTGCAAGATAATGCATTTGGTATAATGATGGGGGCCTTAGCTACGTCAGAAACACGGGAAAGGTAAACGAATAAAAAAAGGTTGAAAAACACTGCGTTGGCATTTTGGGGTTTCAAATCAACATTCTTCAACTCAGCTTATGCGGCTGGCCACTAGATGGCGGTATAGTCTAATTTCAATTCAGTACGCGCCGGTGTCGCCGGAATAAGTTATGTGAAGAATAAGGTGGTTGAACTCTTTATTTCCAAGAGATTTAACAAAGTAGCTACCCTCTTTACTTATAACCTAATGTAACTAATCAGAATTCCAACTCCGAGGTGTCTGATAAAAGTCTCCGATTCCAGTGAAACATGCGAATCTCGCTATCTCAAAGCCCTGGCCTTTCTAAGCCGATGGCATCTTGTTAAACGAGCTAAGTTCTTGGCACTATTGTGGCCCGCGAACAATGCAAAAGCAATTTTGTGGCCCGCGGAGATGCCAATCTTGGACCACCTTGATTTAGACGATGGAAATCCCAAAGCTATAATGCGAGTACTTCAAGCATAACGCAATGTAGCTCCAGGCGATTTGGAATTCACCTACCGGCGCCGGATGAATTTGTGAAACGCTTTGATGGATAAGTAATTGTAAAATGATGATTTATATCTGAAAGAGGTTATTGATGTGTTGGTGGGGTTTTTTGAATTCTAATTCAAGACATAAATAAATATTGGCATGTGTGATTCAAATTGAAATTCCGGCGCTCCAGGACTGCGTGTACCAATATGGAGATACCTAATTTCGTTTGCCTACATTTCATCAAGTTGTCTAGAGAAGAAGACAGAAACCTATGGGCAGGGGTATATTCACTTAGCTAACACACACAGTCTTCGAGCTCACAATAAAATAAAATGAGGAAAATCGGAATAAAACTATGGCCTATCGCTAAACTGGTACACATACTACGGGAGTACCGAATTGCCCACAAATCTGATTAACTTACATTCTGAGCTGCATTACCAAAACTTATCACATCACCTTACATGGGTATAATAAAACTGGTACAATGTCGAAATACAAATATTTTATGAAAGTAGCTTTGTATGGATCAGGGACTTTCTGCCGCGTACAAAATGCAAAAATACATAAACAGAGTGTAATAAATTGAATTGGCAAGCCGAACCGACAAGAGCCGGTTTCATTCAATATATCTGTCGCTTCTTTTGAACGGCCGTGTTTGGAGCTAACCCCATCAAATAAGAAACACATTGGATAATTTCGTAGAATTTTCATATAAAAATGGCTAAGTTATCTCATAAACGGCATGGACTGGTAACCGCCCGTAAGGCCGTTGTTCGTCATATGCCGCTTTATCAGCTTTCCTCTCCCCGGGGAGCAATATATAAATCCTGTCCTATTCTAAAAAAAATCGTGAGAACATAATTAAAACATTTATTTGAAACAAATACCGTCAGCCTACATGTCGACAATTTTTTATTAATTCAATCTTCAGAAAGAATGTGGGTACACTGGCATAGATCGACCTAAAACGTGATTATTTGAGGGATCAAAGGAAAATGGCCTATTTTGAATATAGAAATCTATTTTCTTTATAAGTGAGATGTATGTTGTTATAATCCCACACCTTTAACTATGTAACTTCACTGTTTCTTTGCTATATCTGCTGCTTAAACTCAGCAATGAGGTGTCGCTGACTGGATGATTCATCGAGTCCTTAGCGACCCCTCTTCAATTGCTAGATTCAATGTTTTCCGTTGTTAGTTGTATGTGGGTTTATTGTTATACATTGATTCTTGCACAATGAAAATGAATACCTGAATCTGAAATGGTAATAAAACTTGTTATTTCGCATTTTCAATGTAATTGTTGCCATTGCCAAATTTCAATTACTCTATCCTTAATTGGTGATATCATCTGTTCATTTATGTCCAGTCATTGTGGAATGAGAGAGTTTCAATCACGTTCCGATATTTGGCGAATATATGGCAATGTCCCCAACCCCCCATTTTTTAGAATTTGTCAAATATCGAGCCCCACTTCAGAAATAACTAGCCAACAACAAGCTAAAAATAACAAATAGTAAGACGAAAGTATGTTTTATTCAAAAAATACGTGGATGGAACGTAAATATTCAAAATACGGCGGGCAAGCTTAAATCTAACAATTTATTTTATTTTAATTAGCTTCATGCTTCTTCAAAAAATTCTCTTCGACCACTTTGTAGGGCGCGCCTCCAGTTTGAGAACCACTGAATTCTAAACTGAAATGCTTGGGATTCGCGTTGAGTTAATAATATACATGACCCGTTTTTTTCGTCATTTTTTTGTCACGTGGATTCAGTTTAAGTTGCCAATTTTCATATAAATATAGAGTGTCCATAAAGTCTTTTTTAAAATCGCAAAGGGAATTTATAGATATCATATATTGTTTTGGCCCTTCCACGTTCATTAAATAGAGTAAAAATTCCTAAACAAACATGATTAAAAAACAACAAACCCCGTTAAGATATATTATATTGAGAACTGACTTCATAACAAAATTGTAAATAAACCTTACGGACACGATGCACGTATAATGTTTTTATAAGGAAAGCCGATAAATCGCTGCAATACGCAGGGAAAAGCGTGGTCTATTAATCGCGTGCCAGTCCATGTTACATATGGAAATAGTTGAGAGTTTGACATCTTGATGCCGTAGATTCGTCACGACGGTGAACCTAAAACAAAATGGCGTTCAATTTCAGTTCAGAATTCAACTCTTAGGCTTCAGGCAACGCTATTCACAAGATAGTTTGCACTTTTCTCCAAGTAAGTCTCGGTACAAGCTTTTCACTGTGTTATGAAATGTTCGGAGATTGAAAGAATCAAATATGTACTGCAAGCTTGGAGTACCAGAATAGTTAATATCGTCCAATTGAACAAAAAAATTAATCCTTTTTGACTTTGAGTACTTTTATTTCGGTACTTCGCCAGTAACCCTGGCCTCCCCCACACAGGAGGGCTAAAACAGTATTTATAAAAATAAAAACAAATGAGATTTAATCTAAAAAAGAAGAAAATAAAACATGTGATGAAAATAACACGTCAATATAACAGTAAATATTGCGGCTTATCTATCTGGGCCAGCCGTCCAAAGAAATAGGAAATAAATGTCGGATGCTCGTCGAGTGGCTCGCGATCTGGCGGATATATAATTGGAGTGTAACATTTGAGTCAACGCCAGCCGCGGCCAACTCGCCGAGCAAAACCACACCGAAACAACAAACCAAAAATAACGTAAAACAATCTTGCTGCGAAGGGCTGGCCAGCTCGGCAGTGGGTTCTAAAGATGAAAAATACTGTATAATAGGTACCACTCGCCTTTTACTATCCACCAAATTAAGTGATGAGAAGGTGTGAAGTGGTCGGAAAAAAAATAAATATATAAAA